TGTTTTATTATTTTGACCAAAAAAATAGTACTATTTAAGGTCATTTATAACATATATTAATAACATTTTTATGAAAATGAGATATAAAATTGTGCGCGAAGTCTGAAGTGAGCGACATGTGATTATTTGTGGAAGTAAAAATATTGTATAAAATCTTTATACGAATAATTATAAAAATATTGTATACAATATTTTTACAAATATTGAAAATAATATTTTTATAATATTTAAACTAGGTGACAAATAGGACTTAGATGAGACAGATAACCTTTTTGTTAGTATTTTTTGAACTCAGACACCCTCAAAACTCACAGTACTGTACGTCAAAAGCTCGCTACTAGATCGGGGATAAGTTTATATTTTTGCGAGTCAGTAGTACATAAGCATTAACGTATCAAATTTTCATGCACTAAAATAGATTTAATATAAATTACAAGTTATAAATAAATTACACTGTAGCGAATTAAGCTTTAACATTAATATTTAATTAATTTAACAGAATTATAAATGTATATTTGATTAAAATGTAGATCAAAATTAGTAAATATATGGCAGTTCTTCAGGCTTCATCTTTGTCAGTTGCCGTGTACTCCGTTACTAGAATAACAATTACCGCACTATTAAGCCGTAGCTACACTGGATTTTTATACTCATTATTGTATAAAAAGTTTATATAAGAGTATTTTTCAATGGTACAATAATATTTGAACCCAAGACTCAAACCCAGGACCTGCAGGACCTGCAAGATCAGCAACCATAAATGTTAGTCATCAAACCCACAAGGCAGTTTTACATGATATCGACTTAAAGTAATGGTATCTTGTGTTCCCAGTGAGTGAGAAGATCGAAGAACCACCTATCTATTTCTGTTATCTTCTTCATCTCAGATATCAAGTTAAGAGTAGTGTTACATGGTCAGGACACGGGACAATGTATATTGTATATGGCATATACAAACAAGTGCTTGTCACTTTTGTGGTAAAAAAGTCTAAAATTATACATCTAAGATATTTAAATATATATTTTTTTAATTAATTTTTTATTTCTAAGTAAAAATTGTTCTTTTTTTGTCAAATGTATTTAACCTTAACTGAAGGACTATGGAAAATTTAATTATGAAAATAAATTGTAGGCTAAGTAAGTGGGCTGACAAGAATCACAACGAATGTCTGGATTGTTAGAATAATATTATATGACAGGAATGGATTGAAATGAAAGTAGAATAATAAACTGTGCAACGAGTTGTTATCATCAATTTAAAAAAGTTACTTTAACGTAATAGAATATTTTAAATATTAAAGCAATTTAAATAAACAATCTTAATGGAAAACATCGTTTCAACAATCTTTGTGCCACTCATGATATTTTCCAACACTAACATTATGAAAAAATAAACATTATTTTATTCAATTTGGTTTGATATCTGATAATATTATGAATTTTATAAGGTTGTATTTATTATAGTGTAAGATATTTAACTCTAATATCTAGGTAATAATCACTTGGGTAGAATGAAGGTAAGAAGGAAATCCAAATCTGTCTAAATTCCAAAAGTTTTTTTATCACGTTAGGAAATGCATTTACGCATACCATCTGTATATATACGGATGGTTATGTCGAACTTATTGTCTTGAAAATCGAGTTTTACCAATTAAAACCGAATCGGCAATGCAGGATTGCTTACGACCTCAACCACGGCGGCTCAACTTCAGGCTTGTCGAGGCAGGTCAAAATAACGATGTGGTTGGTCTCAAAGCCCTTGGGAACCTAACGACTAGATAAAGTGAGGAAAAAGATGGGGGAAAATTCCAAAACCTAAGCCTACTTATATGTTGAACAGTTAGAACAGCGGCCTATATCTTCAGCTTGTAAAACCTAGTATTTCTAAGCTTCCAAAAGTTTTTAAATCTAAATGTATTTTAAACTTATTTTTTAACCTCACCTTACGAAGCACGTGTCCGTGCCCTACTACCATCAGGTCAGAACACACCTCTGTAATGGACTTATATCGGCGGATCGTGAGGAGATAGCATGGTACTTGTTTGAAGTACCGTCTTAATTGCTGGGTGATCGCTTTACATCGCTGTTTAGATACTACTGACGATTTACGTTTACTTTATATACTAGTTGTTTTTGTATTAAATAGCTGTTTTAAGATACACTAATATTATTAATATGAAAGTTTGTATGTATGTATGTTTGTTCCTTTTTCACAGAGGATTTGAACATGCTAAATATTTGCGCAAAGATGGTGCCAAAAGTTTTCACCCATGAACAGAAACAAATGCGAAAATCAGTTAAATGCGTAATTTGGAGTGACAGCAGAGACTGGATGAGTCAGGTAATCACTGGATGAGATCTGGATATTTAAGTATGACCCCGAGACCCGTAAACACGTAGACGCGTAGCACCCGAGTGAAGCGGAAGGGACCTCATAAATTTATTGGAATAATATAATACTTAATTCAAATATACGTTCATAAGCTTATTAAAATCATAAACTTACTTTAACGAGTTACATGTCAGTCAGCGGAATGCAGGTTTGAATTGATAGTATTTAGTAGCATAGTGTTTACCTGGATTATTGTTAGTTTAAAGCTAACTAAACTTGATTTGGCTTGACTATTAACATATTGGGAACTGAGTATCTCATTTTTGGAAATTGGTCAATTAAAGTATCATGATTTTTTAGAAAATCATAACCATATAAATGGGCATCAAAAATCAAAATAAATCCGCAAAAAAACTCGAAAAAATAGTTTTATTATTAAAATGTCAAATATTTGCGTAGATCTAAAAAATATATATAAACGTCTTACTCCTGTCTCATGTTATTGTTAGTTCTTCACCATTTTTCCCAAGGTGGTGGTGAATTTTATCGAAGCTGTAATAGATTTCGTAACGAGCTCGCGGCCAACACTCACCTTGCAACTATTCCCATTAGGAATGTACTCAGTAAGTGTTAAAACTCCAGCCTAGACATTACAACTAGACCTAAAGAACGATTAGAACTTTAGCATTGGAACTTTATTATGTCCCTACATATGTTTATTGTCTGAAAATAAACGGTTACATCAACTTAGTAAATAATCCAAATATTTTTGTAAAGGAGAATGTTTATATGTATGTGTATATGTGTATGTTTGTCTGTTCTTCGCGTTAAAACAGCTGAACAGGTTTGGATGAAGTTCATAGATAGACTAAGTCTTTTTTACCATTGCAAAATGCATTTACGTATATGGCAATTATGAGGGACTGATCGGGAAGAAAAACCAGTACTACCCACTAAAATCTAACGAAACCTTTCCGTCTTAATTTGACATCACAGGATTACTAACACACTCAATTATTTTATTTTATTTTGGATCTCCAACAAAAGGTAGACACTATATACATTATCATTTAAAAACAAGAAAAGCAATTAAAACTCGCAACACGTGCGCTCCTTCACTTATAGGAGACCATAGCTTGCTCATTTATATATTATAAGTTATAACAAAGTAAAAAGATAAAATTAAAGTATGTACATTTTGAGAAACCTACATTTTGATAAAAACCGACTTCAAACAAAAGCACTAAAAAGTAAAAAATTACTGATTGGTAGTTTTCATTTACTATACATACCTAATCAAATATTTTTGAAGTCGGTGTGCTTTGCTTTGTATGGGCTGGCACCGATTTCGAAAATATTTGATTAGGTATGTATTTAATAGGTAGGCTTTAATTACTTAGCCAAAGCACACCGACTTCGAAAATATTTGATTAGGTATGTATAGTAAATGAAAACTACCAATCAGTTATTTTTTACTTTTTAGTGCTTTTGTTTGAAGTCGGTTTATATATTTTTCTTAAAAAGTTTTTATTTTTCCCTTTTTAGACAGTAGTAGCAAAGTAAGAATTCTAACGTGTTAGGTTTGTCAAATCAAACAAAATAAGCCCAAACTTGAAGTATCTACTATTAGCCGTTGAAGAGTTTCACCTATCCACCGGGCCTTACCATTAGATCAGGTCAACAATACCGAACCACTGTACTATCAACGGAAATAGAAACACTTGCAAAGTTTCAAGTCAATATGACAATTAGAAGTAGGTTAAATTCATCATTAGCTATTTTTCCACCCTTAGGGGTGTTATTTTTTTTTAAATTTAAGTGGGACTAATCTGGAAGTATACACTTTCAAACAACACAAAAATTGTCCAAATCGGTATATTTTTTTAATAATATCATTCGTTCATAACTTAATGCTATGTATTTTATATTTTATACAAAAAAATAAGAGTTATATTATTAGGCCCCAAATCTTAATAACTATGTGTATTTAAAAAGGCTTTTTTCATCTGACGTAAATCTGAATGTTTAACGAAACGTTAGGATATTATTTGTTTAGGCTTTATGATCCGCGGTCACCGGGGAGCGAGAAGGGTTGTTACGCCACCTTCTGTGTAGGGTTCTAATTAGACGCTCTACGAGTTTGAACAATTAGTGTTTATCTTAATTAATAATTCATTATTATTTTAAATAGCTCATGTTGTATTCAATATAATATATCGACATTAAGACGGATTTCGTAAGAATTTCAAAATGTACATATTGTAATTTAAAAAAAAATGAAAAAAAAAACAACCTGGTAAACTAAAATTCAAAATAAAATCCGAAAAAATAGTTTTATTTTAAATGACAAATATTCACGTAAATCCAAGAAAGTATTATGGAAAAAAGAATATTTCAGTTTTCTTTTATCAAAATGACAATTTATACATTTTCAACCTAAAAACACGATCATAATATGTAAGAAGTTGCGGCAACAACTTAGTTATGCCACACGCTAAATTATTTCAATTAGCCAGTAACGTGTAAGAGCTCATAAAAACTATAAAAATGTTTGCTGAAAATATATATTTTTTGCTAATAAATCACAATCACAACAAGAAAATAGGAGAGAAAGTTAATAAGCCATGTAATTGATTTCAAGTGAAACGTAACTACTGGCCTCGATAAAATGTTTGTACTCGGGCTACTTGCGACGTCTGTTTTTTTGTATGCCGTAAGTATTTTTTTCAACAACCTTTTTATTACTAGTCCAAAGTGTTTCGTAACAAAATTGTAACAAGCAAACTGTATAATAGATAAAACTTAAGACCTAACCCCTCTTTTCGCTTGGGCATATACCCAGGTGCGTTTTGTATTTATTATATTACTAGCGACTTATTCTTCCCATGTAAGACAATTGTGACCGATTTTCATGAAGTTTTCTTATGAGTACCACCATAATTGAGTAACTTTTTATAAATGTTAAGAAAATATTTCGCCTCTATAGCTGTAATAATAACTTATGAAAATACAATTTAAAAAGTTATTCTAATAATTGGTTATAAGGATTCAAAGCTGAGGTATTGTGTTTTAGAGTCTCTTATGCATATGAGGGCATGTGCGTCTGTAATACGAGTACGTCTACGGAATCAGTCACAAAAGTTAGTTAGAAGTAAAACAAATGAGATACATGTATACTATGATGTTACATGTTCTTAGATAATCTTTACTAGTTTTGTAAATTGGTAAAAGGGTTACTCATCTCTGATACGTGGGAATGCAAGAATTGACTTGATTTTGAGTAATAACGAGGGTTTTCTGAAATGATCTCCGTGAGATGGCAGGACTGTAGCGTCAGGTCCAATGGACTGTCAAAATACATACGCGAATTGTAATTTTCTATATATTTTTTGGTTTATTTATTCTTAAAATCATTCCTTCAATTTAGTAGTTAAAGAACGAAATCGAATTGTGTAAACAAATTCTAGTACGTTACGTTACCTACCTTTCAATGAGTTTTTCCTTTGTACCAGTGACTTTTGCGCCCCTTTTTTTGAGCTCAATCTTCAGTTCAGCGATCTTCTTCTGACCGTAATCCATAATAAAATCAATAACACTTCCAAATACAATAGAATTTCAATAATTTATGTTCAGTACCTGCGACTCTGTGCTATTTGACAGCTGTTTGGACCTGACGCCTACGAAGCGCCGCCTAGTGGCAGAAAAAGTATCGAAAACCCTCATTGAGAGAGTGACAAGTGACTTCGACTATTAATTATTTTACCGAGTTTTAAAAGAAGATGTATTCAATTCAGTTCTCAAGTACGGTCTTTTGTGTATGTTAGGTGATGTCAATGACAAATTAAAAAAAAAATCATTAAAAAATTATTATGAACATGACATGTTCATAATAATTTTTTTAATGAATACGTATATATAGTTCAAGGTTAATTTCATATGAATTAAACAAAAAACATCTTGTAGGTTGGAATTAAAACTTTTGAAGTGGATGTTTACTTCAGCAAGTTGAATTCTTCCACGCTATGTAATTAATAGCGGTTAGTATAGATTTTTCAGACATGGGATATTTTCCCGCAATAGAGTGTATCCTATATGTTGACCCGGATAACCAGCTATCATCACACCAAATTTCATCCAAATCTGCACAGTGGTTTTCTCATTATGCCTTCTCAGACACACAGACAGACAAAATTCTAAAAACTATAAATTCGGCCTCTGTATCGATAATAATGACTATTTCAATAAGATTTTCCAAAAAAATATTTAATGTACAGATTCGACTCAGCTCGAATTTTATTATATGTATATATAAAAACTTTCATTTAAAATAAAGTGTTTAATTCCAGGAAAGCACACACATATTTGGATTGGATAAGGATTTCAATAAATTATCATCGGACAAGGAATTGAGTAATCATGTACATTTTATTATTGTTTTATTTTGGTGTATTTATAGTTTTACACTTATGCGGACTAGAGGAGTTATAGGAACACTTTTTATTGTAAATCTGGCTGCTTAGAGCTTTACAAGAATAACGAATTATAACTAATTAGAATAACAAATTATACCTAAAAAAATGGCAGTGGTAGCCCAGTGGTAACGCGCTTGCTTCGGAAACCGAGTGAAGCGGGTTCAAATCTCGGATCTCACACCTCTGATATTTTCATGTGCGAATCATTTCTAACATGATTACCACTTGTCTTACGGTGAAGGAAAAACATCGTGAGGAAACCTGCATGTCTGAGAGAACCTAGCAAGTTTTCGAAAGACATGTGAAGTCCGCCAACCCGCACTTGGCCAGCATGGTGGACTATGGCCTGATCCCCCTCGTCTTGAAGGGAGGCCAGTTCCCAGAAGTGGGACGTTAAAAAGGGCTGAATACAACTAATTAGCTTTTTGCTTCATAAATCATAGATAACTTATTAATGTACTTACACGTTTAATCAAATCTCTCATGAAAAATACCAAAATTTATTCAATTATTATTAAATATCCTATATCCTAATATAGAGAACAGTTCTTGAACCCATGACCTATAATTCGCTTAGATCTAGGATATATAGGATCTCTATTACCCCAAAAATGGTTAAATCATTTTTATCGTATTAACTATGATCTAGTATATTATTTTTACAAAAATAACCCTTGAAATAAATGATCCTATATCAATGTAATGTTATACTTAGACTTAGATTTATCTTTGCCACTACCATATGCTAAGATACTCGATACACGCTGTCGTGAAATATTTGTTTGATAAATTGAAAAGTGAATACATTTGTTACGCTCGTCCTACGAGTATATATTCTACTACTACTGTTATTTTTAAAGGATATTTTAGCTTTAAAGAATAAAAAATATATAAATAATGCATATAGAATATATTGTTGATTTAATACCATTATTGTGTAAAAAAATATTTTTAGAGATTTTTTTATGTTTGAAGACCTATTACTGCCTAATCTAGCTACTTAAAAATAAGCAAATTTTAATATTAGATTAAAAAGATTTCTCGTCTACCTATATATATAAAGAAAATTAAAGTGTCTGTTTTTAATGTCAAAATAACAGCTTTTAATAAATGCATCATAAATTATATACGGTACTTATAAGAAAAACACAACTCTTAAAATCTTTGTCTGTCTGTTTGTTCCGGCTAATCTCCTCTCAGCTGAACTGATTTTGAAGGAACTTTTACTGGTATATAGTTATTAAATAAAACTATCTTTTCGGATTATTTCGCGGATTTATTTTGATTTTTGGTTCCCGACGTTTCGAATGCTTTACAGCATCCATGGTCACGGGAGAGACTGAGGTGTTACATGTCTTAAAGATATAGTTGTTACAGACAGCCTACCCACAATTAACAAAATGAAAATTGCACCAATTTTTATAATTATTACAATTTTAAAAATATTAATTATTAATCTATATTTTACAATTTAATTATAAAAATAATAGCAAAAATTAAATAAATAATTTTCCATATTCAATTATAATTAAAATTATAAAAATGTTTAAAGTTAAAAATATTGTAATGTAATTGGTGCAATTTTCATTTTGTTAATTGTGGGTAGGCTGTCTGTAACAACTATATCTTTAAGACATGTAACACCTCAGTCTCTCCCGTGACCATGGATGCTGTAAAGCATTCGAAACGTCGGGAACCAAAAATCAAAATAAATCCGCGAAATAATCCGAAAAGATAGTTTTATTTAATAATGTCAAACATTCGCGTAAATCTAAGAAAGTATTATGGTATATAGTTGATGTTATAAAGAGTAACTTGGGCTACTTTTATTTTAGAAAAAGTATTAGGGTTCCGCCAAAAAAATTAAAACGTGAAAAAACGTGAAAAAAATTAAATAATTTCATAAACGACTGATTTACTTACAAAATTCCATTAATGCTATATAAATATAGCTACAATATTCGACTTTACTGCAGTAGTAAAGTAACTTGTAGTAGGGGTTTGAAAGCTGATAGGATTAAAACTAATGTTACGATTCCAAGTGTGGATGCGATGGGCAATGCGAGATATTGATGGTCGGGCAGCACGCGATCTGCCTTCACTGGCTGTTATATGTTATTTTTATACTAAATCTGTTACTCGGCACTCTTGAAATACGAGTAAAGTACCTATATATGTATGTATAAAGTTTGTTATGTTACTTTAGTTTTTGCATTCGATTCCCTTCACGAGGTAGGCATGTTGATGAAAAGCTTGTTTGTTGCAGGACATATATATTTGTTCCACCTTTATACGTTATGAATTTCATTGAAATTCCTTGATAAATTGAAATAGTTACAGCGCGAAGACGTAACAAATAGACGCAATCGTTGACTTACTTTTATATTTATTTATATTATACGAATTTTTAAAATATGAATCTATTTTTTCGGAATTTGCCGCGAATTTATTTTGATTTTACGTTTAAATATTTTTTTAAATTTATTTTATATTCATAAATTTCACAAGTTCGGTATAAATTTGTAGGAAATCTGTTTAATTTTATTTTCACCTCTTTTTATTTTTTGAAATTTTTCTTGTATTTGTGTCTGTGTCGTGTACGTGTGTACTGTTCGTGATTCTAGGTCAACGGGAACTACCATATAGGGTTTCGACTTAAACCTATAGGGTACTTCCGGTTGACCTAGAATTGTCAATTTTGGTTAAAAGCAAGATCTCAAAGTACCAGTAAAGGGCTTGCTAGGTACAACCGTTCCTGAGAAAATCGGTGGTGACACACGGACAGACAGACGGACGGACCGACGGACAAGAGAGTGATCTTAGAAGGGTTCCTTTTTTACCTTTTGAGATACGGAACCCTAAGAATGTAAGAAATTTACATTCGCAATCTCCCTAATTCTCAAGATTTAAATGTATAACTTTTAAAGTTATATATGACAGTGTAAGTAGTGTATCAACTATCCAGTATCCATAACACAAGCCTCGTAGCTTACAATGGAACTAGATGGTGCTGTGTTAATGTCCCAACGTTTTTATTTATTTAAGTACTAAGTAATAACATGTTGTTTTCATAAATAATCTGAGCTTTTCTAGCAATTATTGTAAAAGCTTTATAATTTGTATGTACATGTGATACATTTTACTTAAATGTATTATTCGAGGTAAGATAGTTAGATAGTGGGAATATATAATAATATATTATTAGTAGTCGCAGAAGGGTTTGGTTCGCTTACTAAGGGAAAAATTGTTTTGTAACATTCATTATTATACCATTGTATTTTTATTTCCCTTATTATAGTTTTATTACCATTTCAATCTAAGTCATACTCTGCAAAATAGTGAATGTAAAGAATGATTTTTGTATCATTAATAGTCGCCCGTGGATTTGTTAGCGTTTATAGTTTTTTTAGGGTTATTTATCATATAAAAAATAATAATATTCTTAGTATCACAGAAAATTTTGATTATATACTTATAATATATCCTATCATATACCTATTTATTACAATCAAAGTTCAAAGTTAAAAGTTCAAAGATATTCGTTAATTTTTAATTTTAATAATTAGTCATCCATGGGTTTCGGTTTTTCGTTATCATATTTTTATATTGGTAGCTCGAAAATTTTCATTTCATTAAAATATACTTAAGGTATTTCACCCAATTACTTTTTAATTACATGAAATAAAATGTCTTAATTTTTAATTACATGAACAAAAATAAAGGATCTTTTTGGTTTTCGGAGAGACTCTCACGTGACCATTATGGTTGTAAAGCATTCGAAACGTTGAAAACCATAAATCAAAATAAATCTGCGAAAAAATCCGAAAAGGTACTTTTATTTTAAATGTCAAACATTCGCGTAGATTTAAAAAGTATTCTTCATGAAAAAAAAAACAAGTATTATTATTATCAAACGAAAATCAAAAAAAGCAAATATTAATCAAAAAATTATAATTATTAAAACATTTTGTTTTAATAATTATATTTTTTTGATTGTGTAATTAATTTTATAGGACGTATGATTTTATAACTGTTGACATTTGAGTGGGGTTTACGGTTGACCTTGCCATTCTACGCTACGCCATATTATGTTCTCTACAACTTTTGTTATAGATAAAAATACTGTTTATCGCACAGGTAATTTTGCGAAAAACTATATTTGTGATCTTTGCCCTTTAATATCTTAAGACGCGGACACGAGATTATGTGAGACTTTTGATACATTATTTAGAATACAAGAACAAAGGTTTATACTCCTTTCAGCTTATTATCTCCCATTCAAATCTTTATAACTTTTTTTACCTATCTGACTGGGCTATTATATGAGACGGGAAAGGTTTCGTTGGGTTTTAGTAGGTACCTACCTATTGGCTCTTCTAGTCAGTGAGTACCTCATAACCACATGTATGTATGGTGGTATGCATAAATGCATTTTCTACATTAAAAAAATCATATTCTATCATATAAACTTTCCCATCTACAATAGTAGTATGGTTGATGAAACATTAATAATGTGTCAATAATTTAATTAAATATAATTTTTTTAAATATAATAATAATAATATATATAATAATTATTTATTTAGTTTTAATGATTCCAAATTATTTAATAACTTTAATGTGTTTTTTCATTTATATTTTAATTTATCGATAATTGTTAAATATTAATGTTCCAACATATTACTTATTTATTATTACTAGTGGATCCAAATAAATAAAATAAAAAACCTCTTAGGCGAAATGCCTTTGTTGCCTAGACAACTGTGTACTATGTTCATATCCGGTCTAAAAATCATTAAGTGCGAGTTATTTTATCATTTTATCTTCACTTTGGACAGTTTATTTGAATTAACATTTTTATTGACAAACCGTTAACCGTTTTTATGATAGAGCAAAATGAAAAAGTCTTTTTTTATGGAGACCGCACGTGGAAGAGATTAAAAATTGTTATATAATATTTCCCAAAGGATCATAATTTATTTAAGTACTAATAATACGCGGTAATATTAGCTGTAATGTATATTTAAGTTAATTTCGGTTAAAATTAATATAAAAAACGACAGCATTATAAAAAATTATAAAAGTAAGATTTAATTATAATAGATCTCTATCAAACTAAAAATATTCATAAAGTTAAATGAAAAATGAACGAAATTCATTGAAATTCAATATCATTTTAGGTTCAAGAAGTACTGAAGAGATTAAAAACTTTCAAAGTGTCTGTCCACCCACGTATCCGTTTCTTTTACCAACTTTTAAAAAAAGGTATGTCGGACTACTCGCATCGCATCGCTGACTCACTCTACATACCTAATGTATATCAAAAGGAAAATAAATAAATAATTAATTAATATATTATTAGTTTTTTCATTCTTACTAGTTGTTATTAGCGACTTTGCTCGCGTCCTGATGCGAAGTAGCCAAGGAGTAAATTTTGGATATACTAAATCTTCTACCTAAATTATATAGACTAGATATAACTATTAAGAAACTTAATTAAATTTAATCACACTTTAGTTAGATCAGTTAAAACGGATAAGCGGACAAACATATATAATATATATTGGTACATATGTAATTGATATCACTGTCATTTTGACTAGGATATTACTTAAAGCTATTTATATTCGATAATATTAGTGTTATTTTAATAATAGTCTATACAAATAAATAAAATTGAAGTGTCTGTTTGTAGTTTTTATATTTTTTGTCTGTCTTTTTGTTCCAGTTAATCTCCTAAACGGCTGGACTGATTTTAACAGGACTTTCACTGGCACATAGCTGATATAAGGAGTAATTTAGGCTAGGTACTTTTATTTTAGAAGAAATATTAGGGTTCCGCTCAAAAAATGATATTGTACCTAGGAACGCACCTGAGCGAAGCAAGGTTAAGTCGCTAGTTATAAATATTTTTACAATCAGATTTCCTTTACATAACTCATCTTAGTTTCTTTAGTTGCGAATTGAAATTTCAATTTACATAAAACACAAAAAGATTAAACAAATAACAGTGATATTTTTTCTGATAACCGAGGCGATTTAAAATATAATTTAGGTAAGTTAATTATTGTTTGGATTTTACGAGGCATAAAACAGTGTACGATGAGATTTCCCATCGGTAATATTAATAGGTGAAATTAAAAATGTTGAATTTCCATACAAACTTTGACTGCTATATTTTAAACCTTTTCCAAATTTTCAAAAATCGCCCTTTTTGGTGCTTACCTTCGTATATAAAAAGTATAAAGAACTTTCAAATGTCATGATAAGATAGATTCAGTAGAATTTTTATTGCTATATACAAAATTGTAGTATGTAGTTGAGTTGCTTTGGACTCAATATCTGCTGAATAAAAAGATAAATAGAAAACTAATATTTTTTCGGATTTTTTGGCGAAAGTACCAAAAAAACAAGTTTTAATGAATTTTTCAAGTAAGTATTTGCATACGTCTAAGAATGTATTGTACCCTTCTAAGGTTATTATCTAATAGACAGACATGGACTCTTAGTTCTTTGAATTTAAAAAATGGAAGTTGTTCGGCTCGGCTTTGGGTGTATGGTTTTTGAACGTGATATGTTGACAAATTTTATCGTTAATCTATCTTTCGAGATTCTATTTTTAAAAGTAAGAACGAATTTGAAAAAAAAACCTATCAAAGGTAAAAAAACAATTAGTTTTTTCTTGTATTTTTAAAGGCTTTTCAGAGTGCCTTTTTTGTTAATTAGTAATTATAATGGGCGAAGTAGTATACTTCATGGACTTAATAAAAACATTAATGTAGCCAAAATCGTAGACAATATATTTACTAGTTACTTAAACGAACTTTTAAATTCTAGACGCTCTCTTATACAGTTTGTCAAAATAAGATAAAAATAAGTTGTCTGGAAAAACGAAATTTAGTGTACTTGCGTAGAATTTTTTAAATCTAAATTGTTCGTAGAATTTCTTTAATAAAACGTAGTTTGTAAGACCTTAGCAAAATTCAAGATAGCAATTATGATTGCTGATAGCAAAATTTGTGAGTTATACAGAGTTTACTTAAGTCGCAAAAAGATAAATATTTTCAATCGTCACTAATCTGTAGTACTAACATTATAAAGAAGAAAGATTTTTTTTGTTTGTTTGTACCAAATAAGCTCCGAAACTATTTGATCGATTTAGATGAAATTTGGTGAGAAGATATTTTGAGACCCTGGAAAGGGCATAAAATAGTTTTATCCCGCAAACCATCCCTTAATTGGGTGAAAATGGGGACGAAAGTTTGTACGGGGACTCAATCTAGGAACGGCCCCGAGCGAAGCGAGCGCGAGTCGCTATAAATAATTTCCAGGCATTGTTTCTTTATGCCGGTATATGAAGTGGTCTTCGTGGGATAAACTATAAAAGAAACAATCTAAGGTATTTCTCTGACAGCAGAGTGGACCGTAAGAGCAAACTACTGGTAGTCATGGTCTGCTACGGCAGACCTAGACCTTACGACCAGGGTGGCTTCTTTTACCTCAATCTCCGCCTGCAGGTGGTATACGTAAATACATTTTTTAACGTTAAAAATAAGTTCAAAAAATTTAAATAAATACTCGTGCCTAATATCCAGACACAAAAATCATGGTGTAAAAAGTGCCAAGTTTCCTTAATATAAAAATAATTGTAATCCCATCTAATACTAAATTTAATTGCTCGTCACTTACTTTCTATACAAACTTAAAACACTCTGTATTTGTGAATTAAACTTGCTTTTAAATAACTTCAGCGGTGGTCAATGTTCACGCCAGGAAACTTGATTAATTTCTACCAAAAGAAGTTTATTATAATTGCATTAGCGCTGTGCTTAGACCTTAAAAGTTTTTGCACACTGTACACTTTGTAGCAATCAATAGGTTAAACTGATTTGTAATCGGCATGACGATGTGTATATATATTTTTTTCGGCTGACATCGAATCGTTATACCAAGGCATATGCATGTATAATAAAATACCGCAATCGATATCGAGCTTTCCATTTAAACATTCAATTGAAGTCTAAAATTAAAAGATATCCATACTAATATTATAAATGTGAAAGTGTGTTTGTTTGTTGGTTTGCCCTTCTTTCACGTCGAAACGGAGTGACAGATTGGCGTGATTTTTTGTGTAGATATAGTTGGAGGGCTGAAGAGTGACATAGGATACTTTTCAACGCGGGAAATTATCGAATTCCTACGGGAAAACACGTTCTAATACAATCCAAAAAAATATTCATGGTCAGAATTACTTGAAACTTGTATTTATTAATGCCCTTCAATACAAATAAATAAATACGTGTTTTAGCGTTTTTCAATATTCAACCCATAAGAGTTCTGCTAGTATTGAATAAAGCTTATTATACCAATACATAGATGTCTAAGTGTAGGGCAAATCGTAGGATAAGTAAATAAATATTGCTAGCTATTAACCCTCGATTCGCTTGGATTCGTCCCTAGGTACATTTTAACGGTTAATAGGGAATAGATAGGTATTAAAAGTTTTATATCCCTTATTCGAGAAATAATTGGTTCGCCATACAAATTTTCATCCACCTTTTCAACCCCCTTAAGGGATGATTTCCAGGATAAAATTATCCTATGTCCTTTCCTGGTTCTCAAACTATCTTCATACCAATCGGTTTCATCTAAATCGGTTCAGCGGATTTGTAGTTCATCCATTACAAACAAACTCACAAACTTACAAACTTTACCTCTTTATATTATGAGTGTAGATTGTAAACAAATATTGTTTTATAAAAACAACTGTTAAGTTTTTCGCCGACACTTCTTAACAAAACTTAAATTCTAATTAGTCAATAAATAGTCTGCAATGTGCAGGCGGTCTAACACAGTGTAGGAGCCATTAAACGTGAGCCTCACTTCATACAGTCGCGTAAGTAACGAGATTTAAGGATCTATTTTTGGATTTACTGAAGCAAATGAAAAAATTGCGGGATTATTTTCAGTAAAATGTTTTTTTTTTGTTTATGTGTTTGTAAAAGTTGTGCAAGTACCGAATAAAACCCATAATTTTAATCAAATTTCAAGAAGATAATAACTAAAACCTTTTACATAAAGGAAAATGATATATTTCATTTGCTAATAATTATCATTTTCTATGAAAATTCGAAGGTCCCTAATGATCAACTTCGTATAATTTCATAATACTGTAAATAATTCATTTGTTCTGAATTCCTTCTCGTAAAATATAATAAAAATAAAGAGTTAAGAATCATGTTTCGGGTAACGAGCTAATGAAATTACTGATGTTACCGAGATATCGTTCCAACTCATTATATCAGAAGAATTCAAAAAATTTATATTTGATAATGCTACATTCACAATGTTATATAGTATTTTTTTCTATTTAATGATTGTAGTAGTTCAAAATTTTACGTTTAAATATAAAATAACGATTAGGTAAATGAGCGTCCCTCGGTGTCTTATGTACTTTGAATATTATATACAGGTTACATTTTAACAAATTTTATTACGAACAGTACTCTAGTGTTATTCAAGGTCTATTTGCAATAAATGTGTGTCATACACACACAACACACGGACGCATGCACACACACAAATACACATGCGCAAACACACACGCACACATACACACACGCACACGTACACACGCACACACATATACTCTTACATTCTAAGTTTTGCATTTATAATAATAACCCCATTAATAAAGAGGTAAAAAGCTCAATTTTAGATTTCATGTAATCACAAGTAGGGTCATACAAAGCACAAGCTACTCGTAGAACTTATAAAGTTTTCTCGATTGCAAATTGTAGCTAAATCGGAATAGTTAAGAATGTAAATCAGTCGCTTTGTTAATTGAGAATGCATTGCTTTACTTCGGTCCTCGCTTGCCGGTAATTGGATGTCTTCGGAGATCTCTTTGAAATATACATTTTTATGAAATATTGTAACTTTAGAATAAAGAAGAGATTTATTATACTTCAAGTATATTTATTAACTACGATCAGTATTCACGTTGATCCTATCCCGTGAGAATCCTGTTACTTTAGGTCTAAAATAGATCATAGACGACACGTTTGGCTCAGTTTGTAGGTTATTTTGTTATGCAAGTGGTCACGGGTTGGAGTTCCGCTGGAGGCGTTAATATGTGTGATGAGCACGAATGTTTGTGCTCCAGTCATGAGTGTTTATATTTATAATGTGTATGTATTTAAAGTTACAGTATATGTATAGTGTATCAACTATGTGGAATCCATAACACAAGATGAAATCCATCGAACTAGAAATGTCCCAACATTTTTATTTATTTATATGAAGAAAACTGACATTACTGCTTTTGAAATTTCCC